CCCATGTCCTTAAACGAGCAGGAGGAGCTGGATCGATTCCTGGAAGAGAATCTGCGGAAAGGCTATATCGTCCCCTCTAAATCACCCATCTCGTCCCCGGTGTCCTTTGTGAAGAAGAAAGATGGGAAGCTGCGCTTTGTACAGGATTACCGGAAACTGAATGAATATACTGTAAAGAACCGCTACCCCCTCCCATTGGTTGCTGATATTATTAGTCGACTTCAAGGGGCCCGATATTTTACCAAGTTTGACGTCTGCTGGGGTTATAACAATGTTCGAATTAAGGAAGGTCACGAATGGAAAGGAGCCTTTGCAACCACACGAGGGCTGTTTGAGCCTAAGGTTATGTTCTTTGGTCTCACCAACTCCCCTGCAACGTTTCAAGCACTTATGAATGCCATATTCGCAGACCTTATAGCAGCTGGAAAGGTAGCAGTTTACCTGGACGACATCCTCATCTTTAGCAGTGACCTTCAGGAACACCGACGAGTGGTACAGGAAGTACTAATCCGGTTGGAGAAGCATGACCTGTATCTACGACCGGAGAAGTGCGAATTCGAACAACAACAGATTGAATACCTAGGCCTCATTATATCGGAAGGAGAGGTATGAATGGACCCGGTAAAAGTAGCTGCGGTTCGCAACTGGCCAGCCCCCACTAACCTTCGAGAGCTACGAGGGTTCCTTGGATTTGCTAACTTCTATCGGCGCTTCATCCGGAACTTTGCAAGGATAGCTAGGCCCCTGAACGACCTCACTCGGAAAGACATATCCTTTACCTGGATGGACACCCAGCAGAAAGCGTTTGACACCCTGAGGGAAGCCTTCATCTCCGCACCCATCTTAGCCCTGTGGACTCCGGACAGACCGACCCGAATCGAGGTAGACGCATCAGGCTTTGCTACTGGCAGTGCTCTCATGCAGCAGCAAGAGGATGGCCAATGGCACCCCGTTGCTTTTAGATCAGCCTCAATGCAACCAGCGGAACGGAACTACGAGATCTACGACCGGGAAATGCTGGCCATCATAGAAGCATTGAAGGACTGGAGGAACTTCCTGGAGGGACTACCCAGCCATTCGACGTCATCACTGACCATTCCAACCTCGAGTTTTGGCGCACAGCTCAAGACCTCACCCGGCAACAAGCTCGCTGGGCTCTTTACCTCTCACGATTTGACTTCCACATGATCCATCGCCCTGGCGGAACAAACACTCAGGCTGATGCTCTCTCTCGTATGGCAGCCCACCAGGTACTAGACAATGAGGATAATCGACAGCAGACGGTCCTTAAGCCAAGCCATTTCACCAAAATTGCAGCCTCTATCCTACGGAACCCCTTAGAGGATCGCATCCGGAAAGCCTCACAGCGGGAAGCACAGGTACTGGAAGGTCTCAAAACAGTCAAAGAGCATGGACTACAGCGCTTGGCTAACGGGATCGCCGAATGGGAGGAGGACAACGGTCTAGTCTATTACCGAGGACGAGTATATGTACCCGCAGACGATGACCTACGCACGGAAGTACTGCGTCAATGCCATGACCATCCCATGGCTGGACACCCCGGACTCCATGGAACACTCGATCTAATTAGCACCCACTTCTGGTGGCCAACACTATGCTCCTTTGTGGAGAAATACGTAGAGGGATGCGAGACGTGTGCACGCAAAAAGATCCAACAACACCCACGAGCTGTAACGCAGCCATTAGACGTACCTTCGGGTCTATGGGAAGAGGTAGGAGTGGACCTGATAACGCAATTGCCTAATTCCCAAGGATACGACGCAGTCCTAGTTTGCACAGACCTCTATGGGAAACAAATTCATGCCCTCCCATGTACTAGCTCCATCACTGCGGAAGGCGTTGCTGACATCTACTACAGGGAAATCTTCCGTCTCCATGGGCTCCCTCTCCACTTCAAGTCTGACCGCGGGCCGCAGTTTGCAGCTAAACTCATGCAATCCCTACTTGCTAGACTGGGAATAAAATCAGACCTCACATCTGGGTATCATCCTCAGTCTAATGGACAAACCGAACACGCCAACCAAGAAGTAGAAAAATACATTCGACTTTATGTAGGTCATCGGCAGGATGACTGGGCAGAACACCTCCCCATGGCAGAGTTTGTAATCAATTCGCGAACCCACTCTGCACTAGGCATGTCCCCATTCGAGCTAACCTACGGATACCTCCCCTTGTTCAACATCCCAGTGGGACAACGCAGCGGAATCCCAGCTGTAGATGACCGCATACGGATACTCCGAGAAGCCCGACAGGATGCAGGGGCCGCCTTGCACTTAGGAAAAAGGCAACAGAAAGAGAGCTACGAGCGAGGAAAACGGAAAGCTCACCAGTTCAAAGTCGGAAATTTTGTCTGGCTCAGCGCAGAGGACATCAACCTCCAACTATCCAGTGAGAAGCTAGGAGATCGGCAGCTTGGACCCTACCGGATCTTGGAGAAGATTGGACCCCTGGACTATCGCCTTGACCTCCCTATCTCCCTTGACCGCATTCACCCTGTGTTCCATGTTGACAAACTGTACCCCTGGAAAGGTAACGCTATCAATGGCGAAATACCAACACCACCGGAGCCGGTCTACCTAGAGGATGAAGATGAACCGGAATACGAAGTAGAGGAAATTCTGGATAGTCGGATCCGGTGGAAGAGGTTGGAATACCTGGTTAAGTGGAAAGGTTACGACGCGGGGCATAACTCCTGGGAGCCAGCGCCTAACCTCAGCCGTGCTCCAAAGGTTGTTCGAGCCTTCCACAAAAAGCACCCCACAGCAGCAAAAGCCTGACCATCGAGGGCAATGGTCGTAAGAAGGGGGGTAATGTCATGAAGTACGTAGCCCCTATCATTTTCCTTTTCTCACCGTCTCGACGCCCTTACTTGTACAATTACATCACTGTCAAATCCCATCGATTACTGATCCACCTGACCCCCATCATCGATTACTGATCCACCTATTACCCTTCTCCTTCTACTGGCTTCCGCCACCTTCCTTGTTCCTAAACTGTATAGTATTACATCATCATTTCTCGCAGATCGGATTATGTATATAAAGCCAACCCCTCACAGCCTGGTCCCTTATCTTGACCTCTCTGTCATTATCTTGGGACCAGGTATGTGCTTACTTACTGTTACCTATGACTATGATACTCAATATATCTCTGTCATTATCTTGGGACCAGTCCGCTTCTGCTCCGCTTAGTTGCTCCGCATCTACCACTCTGCTCAGTCGCTCCGCCTCCTTGCTCTGCTTAGTCACTCCGCCGCTGCCGCTTTGTGACACACATGACAGCATTCTCGAAGCTCGAGTCAAACAAACTCGCACCACAAATAGAAAACATCGGTTTGATCCCTTCAAGGAAGAGGATTTGGTCTATGTATCCACAAAGAACCTGACGTTCGAGAAAGGTCTGGCCCGAAAGCTTATCCCAAAGTATATTGGTCCATTCAAAATTACCAAAGACTTCGGAAACCACTCATTCCGTGTCTCTCTTCCAAACCATTTCATTCAGCGAGGAGTACATCCTGTTTTCCATTCATCCCTCTTGCGTATTCATGTCCCTAATGATGACCGATGGTTCCCGGGTCGATTTGATACACAGCTTCAGGAATCTCCGATGGCTCAGCCTCAATGGCGCATCGAGAAAATTTTGTCTCACACTGGGTCTCGGAGACATGCTATTTTCCAAGTTCAGTGGAGTACGGGTGACATTACATGGATGCCATTTGCTGAGATTAGCCAGTTACCCTGCTTGCCAGAATATCTCGAGCTCCTGGGATTACTGACCATTGACCAGCTGCCGAAGGGAGCTGGTACTGTTCCTGAGGAAGTCAGCATCGAGATGGGCATTGCATCCATACGGTTTCAAGTTTTTGATCTTAGTGACGGATTTGAAAATATGAAGTTTTCACCTTCGAGTTCCTCTTATAATTCGGACTCACTTTCAAATCCTTTCCCCCCATCTGTTTGCCAACTTTCATTACCAACCTCGCCTCATATTTTGCACTCTTCTCTGCCTATTTTGCCTCACCCCATTATGGCACCTCTCGAATTCCAACATATCGAACGTCAGAGCCACAGTAAATTTGCTCTCGTTGAGAAGAATGATGATGGCGACAAAATCGTATTCTCTGCTCAACAGGTTCGACTCTATGTCTACTTCGATAAAAATCTCCGCCGTATGCAGAAGCACATTGGTTACACCCCCATTGGCTATCACTCCTTTGCCTCTGAATTCAACAAGGAAAATCTTCCTTACAAATTCGCCTATTGGGATCATGCTAGCTTCCACGAGCCTATCATCACTAACCTCAATACCCAGTCTCCACCCATGTCTATCTTCGGTATCGAGGAGTGGGAATGCTTTGCTCCGAATAAGGCAGTTCGCCCTGGTTACAAGGAAGTTCTCTCTACGGAATACCGAGAACTTTGTAGCATGGCTTTGGATCAGGCCCGAGGTGCTACTAGAGGACGTCGTAAAGCTGAAGTTCGGAAGCAGGAAAAGAAGAATGCTGCGGCCGCTGCCGAGCATAAGAAGACTGGGACTCTCAACTTCCATAGTGGTCCCAAGAACGCCGGTTCAAGTTCCCGCTCCTAAACTCATTTCAATATCTATGTCGTGTTGACGTTCCTCACTCGTTCCTTATCTAAACTTCATTTAAACATATGCCATCGACTTATTTTATATCTTACTTTGTTCACGTTGACTCGTACTTTATGTTTACTTATTTTGTGGTCTTCTGCGATGACCAGGAGGGCGTATGTAACAGTACGGATCATTCCTGATCCGGACCGACCCCGACTCGTATATAAGGATCGTATGTTCGTAGAGTATGGTTAGTTCTCTTCCAATCGCAGCGCTATCCCTGTCATTGCGAGCGACTCTCAGTGTGACTACGTCACATTTTACTTCACTCTATACAAGGTAGCCTGTTTGACCTTTCGTTGTTTGTCCTCCCTGCAGCATTGTGTACCGGCACCTAAATATAATCCGATATGGTGTAGTGGCTAACATTATCGCCTCTCATTCCTTGAACGCGATAGCCCGGGGTTCGATTCCCCGTGTCGGAATAAGCTTGTACTAATTCATTTTTTTCATCGCGAAGAATTAATGGATCTTCACAGCAGATGTCTGTACCAAATAACTACTCTCCTTGCCTCATCTCGAGCCTTGTCTTCCTTCCGCGATATCCTCAACCTCTATAATTCTTCCCTGAAGTAGCTCAGCAAACGTGTCCAACCCCAGCAACACTCCAACATCAGGACCTTGCCCAGGAACGAATCGTGTGTGTGCAAAGTCGATAAGGGATAAAGCATGTGGTGCAGACGGTTTCCGGCGATGGGATTTCGAAGAAGGTTTGGATTTGGATTTTGAAGCGATGTTAGTCTCGTCTGTTGACGCACCAGCGCCATCGGGACTAGGTTCGTGCGCGGACACATTCTCCTCGTCTTCGTCACTGGACGTGTCTCCTTCGTCATCATCGTCGCTATCAATATACTCACTATCATCGTCTTCATTCCCTTCGACATCAGCTCCCTGTCGTATTCTCTCCGTGATCTTGATTTCTCTCTCCTTCATCCACTCAACTCCCTCCCGTGCCCTCTGTTCGTCTCCTTCCCATACGACCAGCAAACTGCCTCCGACCATGCGTAGTTCGACTCCCTTCATGATTGAATGGAGATGTGTAAGCGAGGTATGGATTGAGCGCAAGATCGGAAGAAGAAGGTCAGGAGGAAGACCAAGGTCTGTGCGAGGCTGTTTGATTGCGGAATCAGGGTATGGGACGTTCGAGGAAGCGGTCGAGGAGGTGTAGGCTTCGAATGGTGTTGATGAGCCAGAAGACGAAGCAGATCCCGCAGCAGAGGTAGGTCCAAGGATAGCGATGGGGACAGGCTCACCCAAAACTGGAAAGACTCTCCTCATTCCCTCAGGGAGCTGTTCTTTCTTGAGTGACTTGCCGTATAATTTAGTTGTGATTATTGGAGTAAGTTGTTTAGAAACTGCGTTCCTGTCGGTGTTCACAGGGGAAGCGGAAGGTTGAGGATGAACCTGTGACACAAAGAGAGTGCGATGATATGAGCAAGTACAAATGAATAAAAGCTGAAGAGGAACGGAAGTAAGAAGATATATGCGTCCGAAGTTCGAATCGTTAGCTTGAAGATCTTCGAGAGACACGTCGGGAAAAGTATAATGGACAGTGCTTACTTGGAATCCAGTTATTCGTATCCCGCACACTCCGCTAGTTGTTTCTCTGGCCGTCTTTATCATCCGAGCTTTCTTGGCCTCGCTACATTCTAGATCTAGCTCATCATACAAGACAGTGCCGAGCTTGAGATCAAGGACGTTGGGTTTAGTGAAAGAGTGAAGCAGATTCGATAACACTAGATGCTGACGTGAAGATTTGTTTCGGGCAACAGCGTCGACCACAGCATTCGATGTATCCTGTAACATCATCGCTCCAATCCCTCCTTCACCAATGTCCTTCGAATCCGCGTTCAACGTCTCTACATCGATACTTTCTTCCCTCAATGTCCCATAGAACTCTGGCACGAATCTGCTCAATCGTTTGAGGTTCTTGAGACCGTGTAAAGTTCGTTCGTTCAGTGCTCCTTCATTGCCGACCCTATCTCCCTCGCCTCCTGCCAAACCCATTGGATCCATAGCCCTCGCCTGCGCCATGAGTGTGTAAAATTCATGTTCTAATGGCAACGCCGGTTTGATGAGAAGTGACCCATCTTCGGTCAATTGGATCGAGTTTGGATGGCCGCCTACTTGAGAAAAAGACATACAGCTTGGGAGCGCTCAGGAGGTCAAAGAGACGTACTACTATGTACATTAAAATGTTACATACTGACACTATACAGCACCTAATCAAGCAGAAAAAATAAAAGTAGAACACGGCATGACCCCGACCCGGATTGAACGGATGACCTTGAGGAAACTCCAGAGAACTGGAATCTCACGCTCTACCACTGAGCTACGGGGTCTATAACAATGGTTTCAAATTGTTTGTGGTAACCTGGTTAACTGGATAGTCCTCCGTTTGCTACCTACGAAATCCGAGGGAAGGTTATTTTTGCCAATCAACATACAAATGCATACGTACATACATACTTGCTAAGTTACTTGTGCTCGGGAGGATTGTCTCTGGTAAATCTCGGTGTTTGCCGATATGCATTGAATGTTGATCAATCGATCAATTTTCCCATCGTTTCCACCAATTTCTCCCGTTCCTTGCTTTGTCTTTCTATCTTTCCTCTGTCCTCGTCGTCTTTCGGATTTTCTCCAATCGACCACCTTCGCCGCTTCTCTTCTGGCCTACGCTGCTAGTCTCCTACACGCTCTTTTGCTCAATCTACGTTCTTTGATTCGGCTTTTATAGGGTTTTAATTCTACCCTATAACTCCTCATACACCTCACTACCACAAAACAGCTATTTGTTTGGCCCTTCGATTTGTTACGGTGTTATAGACAGAATTACAGGACACGTAGTACATTGAAGATAGTATGCCTCGTCAACCTGGTATGCAGTTCATTCGATTATTGGTCCATGCCTGTGCTAATTTGAACTGCTGCTGTGCTTTCAGCGCCTCGTCTTCACCGCTTACCACAGCGCTTGGACTATACTCTTATACCTGCGCCTTTAGGTACATTTGATGGCTTCAACCTAAATTCTTAACTACCATACTCACTACCATCGATATTCCCCATCCGTTCATGACAGATCTCTCCCTGCCGCTCGCGTCAGAAAAGTCACCTCTGCCAGCAATCATTGTCACCCCGTCCTCGCCTTCCTCTGCACACGACTACAGCATTGCTTTCCTTGCCCCACCAAAAGAACCTGGTTTCTTCGAAAGGCTCGGCGCTAGACTGCAGTAAGTCTTCCTCATTCATTCATGTTGTACGCATAACAACCAATTTATATTTCTCTTTTCTTCTGATCCAGCTGGACCAAAGCCGCTGTTGCCGCTGAATCCAATCCTAATGCCCCACTCGGGCTCGGATTACGCGCACAAACTGCTCGTACATTACTCATCCTCTTCCTCATCCTCTTCGTAATGCTTACCCACGTCGTCACTCACCGGATGGCACAAACGTCGAGACGGCCGCATTTGGATTTCTCGGTGCAAGATTCGAACCCGGCTCCCGTCACTGCGTCGTATGTATTGGGTGAGATCGGTGTCAGTGAGGGCATGGATATGGATGGGTTATCGAATGGTTCAGGTGTCGATCATTTTGAGGGATTTGAAGGAACTGACTCGGTCCCTTCCTCGGCAATGGAAGGCGGGCATGGAAATGGGTTTGCTAAAGGTCACGGAAACAGACACGCCCATGGTGGTTGGTTCGATCTCAGCCGTTATTGGGGTGATGACCAAGAGGAAGAAGATGAAAAGAGAGACTTCATCGTTTTTGCCTGAGAGGGTTTCAAGTACGCTATCTCTGCTGTCTTATCTTCTGTACGTGCGTACGACCTCCTCCTCCACGCATCGCCCACATTCTTGTCCCTACTTCCTTTGGTCCGAGACCCTTTCCTTCGGTCCGAGACCTGTAGACTTGCTTGGTTCGAGCCTCCCTTCCCCATCTACTGATGCCTCTTACCTACTCCTTCTCCTCACCCCCATCCTACTCCTCCTCTTGCAACTAAGTCCCTAGGCATGTCCCCGATAGGGAACCTGCACTTTCTCGTTTCGTTTGGTCACTATTTGGGTATATAAAATTAAAATGTTCTCTGTTTACTTTATACTTAACGTCTGTTATTGCAATGTCGTTGTTGACGAAGCGTTATCCGTTGGAATTAATGGAAAGTTTTTTTCTTGTTAGAACATTCTTCCAGTGGAATTAGTTCCACTCAGGTTCCACCCTCAGGTTCCACTTGATATTTAGAAAATCGGAGGAATTATGTACTAGTTGCAGATCAGATCACTGTCGCTATTTCTTGATGATATTTATCATGTTCAATTCTTGCCTGACTGTGTTTTATGTCTTTTTATTCAAGGGATTATGTATGTACTTCTGGAATCAGAAATAGAATAGAAAAGCGGTCTGTTCATAGGTACATATAGGCGCATGTGTACACACTTCCCAAATCGTTCTCAACGCCGGTTACTTTCCGCCCACGGTGGACCCGTGCAATTAAATCCAACAGGATCCACCACACTATCACACAGGTAGTTCACCGGCCTAGTCCCATTCACCGGATCCACAATCCCACTTTCCACATCCTCAATCTCGATCCCCGTACACGGACTCGCCGCACTACACTGCATACTCCCCACTACAGCACTACTAGCGAACCCCTTCCACTTTTCCACCTTGATATTCCTCAAATTGAATTTCGAAGTATCGCAGTTTCCTGTGATTCCATTGTACGACGTACATTGTGTGATCAGGAATATACCAGTGGCGTTGTGGAGGGTGAAATCAGTGAATGTGATGTTGGAGACGAAACCCAAGCCTCCACCGCCCCCATTAGGTGGGTAGCCAGTGGATATACCGGTCCAGGTTTTGACGTAGGCACCGAAGGGCATGTTGGTGATGGAAATGTTGCGGGCGGTTACATTTTGGATTGTCTCAAAGGCTCCGTCTAATAGTGGATCATTGAAAGTGAACCAAGCGAGTGAAGATAGATATTGAAATGCTTACCATATTGCCCAATACTACCTATTGCAACACCAAGTCCGGTGTAGAAATTACAGTTTTCGATCAAGATGTTCGTGCTGTTTGCTTTCATTGCGATTGAATCGTCGCCGTTTTCCACTGTCCAGCCACGAAAAGTGATGTTGTTGGCGTACACCGTGTCCGCGCCGTCCGTCTGCGAGGGAGGGGGTGAAATGTAACACGACATATTTTAGAGCGGGCTCACGTTGACGATGAGAGAGTAGTTGAATCCAGGACCATGTTCAGTATCGGTGTTGTTGACGTAGATATTCTCGAGAAGAATGTTTTCTGAATGGATCACTGTCATCGTCCTGTATAGGAAGATGAGAATTCGCCGATTTGGTGCTTCAGTACACTAATACTGGCTCACCACATCTGGCTCTGGATAAATCGGATTCCTTCGAAAACACTG